AAAAAAATAGATCATAACTAAATTTATGCTATTTTTAAGCTAAAATTGTTACACAAACTCTACAACTTAAGGGATAATATCTTTGGTCCAGAAAGCTCTATAGTGTTGCCAGTTAACCTCAACGAACACCACTTCTCTTGTACTTATGTTTGTTTCAGTTATTCCTATTATATTTAAATTTTCTTTGACGCTATAATCTATCAGCTCTTGCAATTTTGTTATATTTCCCTTAAAACCATTAATATTATGGAAGTCTATTTTTACTTGTTCGAATCTTTCTTCTATTCTATTGTCTTGTTTTATATTTTCTGGCGCTATATCTAATTCTGGATCAGTTATGAGGGCGTTGTTAGTTATCTTAAGTGGTGTTCGCTCTGACAAGCTATATTGCTTGTCTGAATTTGTTAATACAACTGTGGTGTTCTTAAGAGAAGTTAGAGACTGGAGTTCCATGTTTTTTGTAACCTATTCAAGATTTGTTTCAAAATGTTACTTTGCATTTCACTTTTGACTATGAGGTTAACTCTTGGCTTAATGTATTCTAAACTATATGGTCTAACCCTTTTGTAGTGATTTTCATCCTGGGGCATTCCAGTTTCGTATTCTTTTTGCTTTCCTCTTTTTTTGCTTATTTCTATCCTTTTCGAACCCATAGCTGTTATGTTTTCTAGGCTTTTAAGTGGTTTTCTGTTTTTGTTTGAGGTCTGCGAATACTGTTAGTTCTACTACTGTCTGAGTTGGTGCTATAGATAGAATTAAGTCTTCTAGTCTTGTCTGGCTGTTTAGTAAGTGTGCCCCTGGGTAGGTTTTTTTCCTTATATATTTCTGTTTCATTTCTTACTTTTTTTCCTTTGTTTTGGTTATTATTTTCGTTTTTATACTGAAATATGCTGTATGAGAGATTTCTTCTATTTGGGTCTTCTGTAGCTAAGTGCTATCTAAGTCTGGTATTGAAGTAGTATAAGATGCAGCTTTGGGCTAATAAGAGATCCTCCTCTGATTTGAAATATAGATGTGCTCTTTTCCTTTGATTTCTATTTCAGTTATAGAGGATATGAACTGCTAGAACTCTATACTTTTTAAGCTTTTGTAAGAGAAAGCTGTCATATGCTAATGTTGAAATATTTGAAATAGTGCCTTTGTAGTTGTTTCTTGTTTATATTTCCACAATATCGAACTTGCCTGGTGTGGTTCTGTACATTTTGCCTTGTTCTAAATGAATTGACCACCCTTCTTTTAAAGATTTTTCTCTTTGTTCTGAGTTTGGTACCATTTTAATGCATGCTGCCTTCATTCTGAAATTCTGCTGCCATGCTATAACAGTTGCTGTACCAAAGATATTCAATAAGACTTTATTACTGATGCCTTCATATCTTTTGGAAGGTCCCAAATCGTGAAGAGAAAAGTAGGTGAATCAGAAACTTTTGGATATGAGATCTTGTTTACTGGGGCTCAAGCTAAGTAGTATATGCCTTCATGTTGTTTAGATCTCTTGTGACTTAGTTGCTTAGATGATTTTGTATCTGTTTGCAGTTCCTCTTTTATGAGTTCTTCCAGTCCGTAATTACAAATACCACACTCTTTTTTAACTAGTATATCCTTAACTAGTTCCTGGTGGTCTTTTGGGGTAGGTGTTGGTGCTTCTTGTTCAATCATATTTCTCTTATGAGGGTTATCCTGTATTTCTAATTCTATGTTGTTAACAGTGCTCTTAGTTTTAAAAAATGGTGTTGCTAGAGTAGTTTTCATTGGGAGTGGCTCCACTTTAACTTCATTTTTATTTGACACTATCTTGAGCTTACTCTCATATTTCGTATCGATATTGGTTGATTTATAGAACACAGATAGATGTACAATTAAGTCCTCCATTAAAGAAGGTTCAATTTTAACTCTAATATTGCTTTCTTGTGAGTAGTTTTCCTTTGTATTCTTTACTTGTGTTGAATTGTTAGTTGGGAA